ACCTAATTAGCATTGGTCTAAGCCAGAGAGTAGCCACAGTGAGTGTCTGATTATACTTGAATTATGCCACCTGAGATTTGATCAAACCTTGACTGAAGCATCTGTCTTGTAAAAATGTACATTCCTGGAAATGTACAGACATGCAGAGCTGATACTTGTGTTCTCTGGCAGTGTGTGAGCTGTCATATATGTGAACTTGCTATCCTTGTGAAATTTTGACTCTAATCATCAAGCTAATTACTTTCCATCACTTTTTTTTGTAAAAAAAAAAAAAAATCTGTCTGGCCAGATCTTTTCTGGAACATGTTGGAAGCAGGCAAGTTAGGTTATGAGCACAAGAGACAGTTCCCATTATTTCTAAATGTATTCTGTCCCTTTTGTCTTTTTATTTGTACAATACAAACATGCTGTATTAGCCAGAGCTTTGCAGCTGCTGGCTGGTCCTCGGCCACAAGATGCAAACACACTTGCTTGCCTTGTGATTCTTTATCACTGGAAGTAAGAATGCGTGATGTGACCTCATAAGAATTTCTGTTCCTTAATACACCCATTTGTTTTCTTTCTTTGTGAAGTTTTAAAACTGTTCTTCCCTTGTCAAGTGTGGCAGGCTGAATCCCTTTGGCAATTTTATCAGGATGGGCCATAGCCACTGTGTGGATGAAGGGAGTGGTCAGTTGCACAACCGTTATGGTGTGATATGACAAAAATAAAAATTTTGCAGCTGGCAGCATGTAATCCCGGCCTCCCTCCTACTTCTTTGGCTCCATCCTGCTTAAATCCATTCACATAACTCTGGATTTTGAGTTATGGTCTATGCATGTACAAGCATGGTATAATGAAATGTCTGACTATTTCATCCCCTATCTGCCTAGTTAAAAAGAAAAAAAAATTGCTTTTTAAAGTATTTTCATGGGGCTTGCTTATGGCATCTCAAGTAGAACTGCTTCTCTGAATCACCAAGGCATAGACAGAATAAGATGACAAGAGATACCAGGTTTGTAAGAGAAGGCTGGAATAACAGCTCAAAGGAAAGACTCAGCTGGGAAAAAAACAAGGACATGGTGACTAAGTATTGCTAAATGGAAAGAAAACAGAAAGGAAAAAGAGATTGATAATCACATACATTTCTGATGGGGAAATTAAATGAATGGTATAAATACAGAAACTAGAAATTATAACTTATTGCACTGAGTATATAAAATAACATTTGTTCACCAAGACTAACATTTGCTGAAGGGATTTCCATTTCTTTGGCCTTGTAACACAAAACTCACCGAATTCAAACAGTCCTTTAATGGTAGGTAATCTATCCACACACTTCTTATTTCTGATCCACTTGAGAAATCATGTATGGCTGATGTTTGAATGCACAAATGCCAAGGTTTGAATGCAGAAATGTCAGTGCTTGAATTAATAGAAACTGTTAAACATCGCATGGCAAAGCAGAAACATTATGTGCAAAGTACCATAGTACTATGTGCAAAATTGGTTGTTAATTCACTTCCATTTCTGACAACTGGAGTAATTTTTCATATAGTAATTCCAGAAGTTTTTCTCCTATCTTAGCAAATGACGATGACAGAGTCTTTATTTTGACTGCACTTTACAATAAGCTTGTAAGAACATGCATTAAAAAACCAAAACAAGGAATAGGCATTAAAAACATACCATACTACAAACTGCCTTCCAAAAGCAATAGTAATGTTTGTCATTTCAGAATTCTGCTAGTTTCAAGTACAACCTGACACAGCTGATCCTATTTCAGTTCTGTGGGATTAAGGGTCAAGACAAAGACCCTGATGTGTACCTTGTGCAGATTAGGAACTCTGCAGATCCTGTACATGCCATACAAATTACAAGTTGCTGTATTTGAACTGTTTCCAGGTTCTTTAGCAGAAGACACATGGGTGGCAGTGCTTTCTAGATCCATTCTCCTTTGCTACACCTTCATTTGGAGGCATTATAGACTCTTCCCTCCTCCCCCTGCCCCAGCTGCTTGTGCTCAGGCATTTCTGTCCTCTTTACCAGCCAAACATTCATGCTGAGCCATATCCTCCACTTGCTGTCACACAGCCCTCTGTGAGAGACATGGAGTGTTCTGTTCAGAAACCTTACAAGCAAACATTCTTCAACCTAAGCAAAGAAAGGAGTATCCAGTCTGTGCACCAAGCATGTCCTAATGGTACTGGGAATGGACTCTTAGACATGGTCCCTGTCTAGGCAGCTCTCTAAACTCTTATCTGAAAATACTCTCATGTTTGACTTCTGAGAAGAAGTAAAACTTACCAGAACGTTTACTTGTAAAAAGTCTTTTATTCCCTGAAAATGGCTATGCAAGTATTTTCCAGATCTAATTAGGCACATCTACAAAAACTTGATGAGCAAGTATGTGTTCAAGAAGAAGTAGAGCAAATGCTACTTTGTAAGAAGAAACAGCAATTAAGAATATACAAAATGTATCCAGAAGGACCACACATCTGATGCCTTTGACGCTGTGACCATCTGGAACTGCCACTTCTGATCTTGCAAAGCATGGCCAATGTTTACCAGAGAACCATAGTACTTGAAATCATTAGTAACAACTTAAACGAGGACAAAAGAGTGCCTAGAAATTTTAAGTGAAAAATCACCTTAGGAAGTGAAGCTTTAAGGGTTCCCCGACTCCTGGGCTGAACGAGAGCCTAAATGGTGAGAGGAGCCCAGGCTTGGCCGGGAGCTGGAGCAGCACACTGCGGGCAGGCGGGATGCTCGCCCTTCAAGCTCTGGCTCTGCTGCCCCAGGTTTTCCCCCGGTGACACGAACAATCGCACGCCCCTCTCCCTTTAACTGCCTCCATTCCGCAGACCCTAGCTATAAAGAACCACTTTAACAGAGAGACGTGCTGCTCTTCTTTCTCTTACACCATGCTTCCATAGGGAATTCCGAGCTCCCAGTTTCAGCCAGGAGCTGAGCTGGGAAGAGCCTCAAACACCCACGAACAGCACGGAAAATCACCCGCTGCGAGCTTGCACGAGCAGCTTCGAGCCCGGCACGGCTCTGGCGAGCAGGAAGGGACGTCGTCGCGACCTCGAAGAGGCGCTGCCGGCCGGCGGAGCCCTTCCGCGGCGGGCTGAGGGTCGGCGGAGCTCGGGGAGAGGCGGCCCCGCTCCCCCGGCGCTCAGCCCTGCAGGAGCTCGCCGATCGCGCCCCCCTCCCGGCTCCCCGGAGCGGCACTCACCGGACAGGACGGGCTCGCGGCAGCAGCTCAGCGCCAGCCCGGAGAAGGCCAGGACGGCGGCGAGGGCGGGACGCTCCATAGGCAGCGGCCGCCGGGCCGCGCCGCGCTCGCAGGCGGCAGCCCCGGCTCTCCGGGGGTGGCAGGCGGCCGGGAAGAGCGCAAAGTGCGGGAAGCGGAGGCCCTACAGCATGTGTCCTGTAAGTGCGCCCCGGCGAGGTGCCGAGTGGCAGATGAGGGATCCTATTACCAGCCATGTGACAGGAAAGGATAGAGACCGACATCCCAACCTGCTGCCGGCGCGGGACCGCGGGGCTGCCGCTTCCACTTCTGACACCGACAGGTTCGGGCTGGTGGCGTTCAGCCCCGGGGCAGCGCTTTGGCCCCGCGGAGCCCTCCTCGCTGGCCGGGATGCCTCGCCACACACACACACACAAACACACACAAACACACAGACTCCTCCATCCCACCCAAGCCTTACTCTCGTCACTCCCCTCGTAGCCAGTGTCCCGCGGAAGAGGTCGGGCAAGAACCCGGCATCCCCGTGGCCTGGCGCGGCCGGCGCTGCCCCTCCGCCCGCTGGGCTCTCCGGGGGTGTCGGAGCCGACGGGCGAGCGCAGGTGCAGCCCGGCTCTGCTCCCCTGAAGCCGCGAAGGCACGGAGGGACGGGGCACAGGGAGGGAACGCTGCAAACTTTCTGAGGGACGCGGGCACGAGCGGCCCCGCGGGCGGCGAGGCGCCAGCGCCTCACGCTGCGATTTGAGGCGTCGTTCTAAAAGTGACGAGGCACCACCCGGCCCGCAGAAGTGACCGGGCGGCGGAGCCGTGCCGGGGCAGCGCTGGCAGAAAGCAGCGCGGCTGCTGAAGCCGCCGTGTCCCCCGCAGGCCGCGTCCCGAGGCGGGCGGAGCTGAGGCCGGGCGGGAGCCGCTGTCCCGGCCGCGGGTGGCAGGGAGAGGAACAGGGACAGCCGCACAGACAGACAGCCACACAAACAGGAGCACACCGCACAGACAGCCACACAAACAGGAGCACACCGCACAGACAGCCACACAAACAGGAACACGGCCAGCCACAGGAGCCCACCACGCCCAGGGAGCCGGGACACTGGCGGGCGGGCACGGACACGGGGACGTGAGGGGACACCCACGCCCAGAGCGCAACACACGCCCAGAGCGAAGGACACAAACAGGTCCCCAGCCGAAAGGAGCATCCTCGCGTTCTGAAAATGCACGTGCCGGAAGATAGGGTTTGTGGTTTGTTTCGCTTGGGTTTTTTGTTTGTTTCTTTGTTTTCTTTCATCTACCTGAAGATACCAAAGTGTCAAGGTGGTAATGTCAAGCAATCGTCTAAACTTCTACAAAGTTCTTACCTGGCCTGTGAGACATTTTAGTAATGATACAAAGAAGCAACCAACATGAAAAATACCCCCACACTAAGAGTTAAAAAAAACATTTTAAAAGTTGCTTTGTCAGGAAAAGAAATAGGGCAAACATCCTTTGTACAAGGTACATCCTTGTACTCCCTTTACAACACTGCTGTGTAATCAAATAGCAACCCATACAGGGAGAGAACAATTTGCTATTCTAAGGGGGAACAATCAAAATACAGTTTGTAGGCCTTAACTATTGTATCAATTCACAGTGTGGATGAATCTCACTTTTAGCATACAGAAACCTCCTACCATATAAAGCTGTAAGGTTGATTTTGAGGGGGAAAATGTGCTTACATTTCTTTTAGACTTTGTGACACATATAGAAAGCAAAAAATGGTCTTCATATAGTAGCATGGCTTTACACATAGATTTTAATATCACAGCATACTATGCCACTTTCTTATTTCTTTGAGCTGAATTCCTAGTGAATGTAGCATTTTTAAGCTGATAGAATACTGAAAAACAATAGTAGTGTTCTGTTAGCTTGGTGCTGGCTTTTTTTGTTGTTGTTTTTTGGTGACAAGTTCAGAAGTATTTAGTTCTTCCTCACACATACAATCTTCTTTCCAAGGGCTGTAACCCCATTTTGTTTCTGTTCACTCAATTTTGATTCCATTCTATCTGGCATTCTATTACCTGTGGACGCTGGAACAGAGAAGGCTTAAAAATTTGTAACAGTTGCTAACAAAGTACAGAAAATCAACCATATCTCCATTTCAATCCACCACTATTCCTAGGCAAAACCATTTTCATTTACTATGCTGCCCTCTTTCTCCACCAATCAGTTGCACATGCAATTGATAAGTGTTTATACATCATTTGCACTTTTTTTTAACCTGTAGCACACTGGAAGTTTGTTGCCAGTGGTCATTATTAAATTATTATTTAAAAAGTCATAGCAGTTGCTATTTCTTTAGGAGGTTCATTTGTGTTTTCAGTTCAGTTAAGGCTTACCTCTCCTTTCTGCATAAATAACCCAGACGTCCCAAGACTGCAAGGCCGACTATTCCAAATATACTGCCAATAACAATTACTTGTTTGATAACTGAAAAACAGAGACCAACCACAAAAAAAAAAAAACATGAAGACTTTGATATCCATTTCTTCATATCTGTTTGAATGCAGTCACATGACCATTTTTTGAAATTGTACATATAGTGTTAATTTTTCTGTTCTCTTTATCTGTGGAGCTGCCTCCCTTGGCAGGGGGATTGGACTAAATGATGTCACAGGTCCCTTCCAACCTTTTACCTTTTCAGATTCTCTGAAAGATTAGGAACTCACAGAATTCCTACATTTGACTGTTAGGGCAGGTGGCTGCAAAAGCTTTATAACACAAAGGGTGGCTAGTGGTTAACATATAGTCAACATTTTGAATGTGCAATATTGATGTGGAACTGTCAATCCCAACTGAAATGGTTTTCAATCCTTATTACATATGGTTTGATTACTTTAAATAGTACCCCTATTTTGGCATTAAATTTTGAAACTGCCTTTGCTGCTTAATAATTTACATAAAAGAGAAGTGACTGCTCTGGTGTGGGTACAGTAAACTGCATTAGAGAGTTTGAACACACTGAAACAGGAATAGTGTGAACTTGATTCTGTGACTGCCTTACAAGGACACCTGAAAGAGAGAAAGAAACCAGCTATGAAACAAATTTTGAGTAAAAATTATCATTTTGTTTTCTTATTCTACTAAGCAGTGGCAGATTAGCATGACACATAAGAATATTTGTAAAAGTTAGGAGATGCAGCATGTGGAGTGAACTGCCTGGGAGAAACAATGACTCCTGCATTTTGTATCTGAGCCTTAACACATCGGGGCTGCATTTTTGTCAGCCCTTCCTTCCATCACTTTGTCACACCTGCCCAAACCACAGCCTAGCACTCAGTGATGGCAGAGTGACACAACAGACACTTCTGTGATCCTAGAACAGATTATCCAGCTGCTGATTTGATTTATAGTGAAGTTTAAGGAAAGAAATGGGATACATAAACTGTTTCACAAGCATTGGTCCATCATCCAGTAACTTCTGAGCAAGGCTCAAAACCCAATGTTTGGCTTACACATCCTTCATAGGGAGGCACCCAGTCTCTGCTGAGTGATGAGAACCCACCACTGGCTAAAGTGGTTAGTCCGGTAGTGATTTGCCTCTGTTGTGAAATCTTTGTCTTTAGAAAAAAAACACAGAAGACTAATGAGATTTCTGACAGCTTTTCAAAATGAACAGCATTTACACAGAGCCTGAGACTGGAAAAGGAAATCTAAAAGTGAATAGAGGAGGGGGGGAAAAGGAGAAAGTAACCCAAAAGACAAACAAAACTAGATTGCCCTTAATATCACCGTATTGTCTGTCTCCAAAAGACTGTATGTACATATGTTGCCACTATATTATGATTTTTAGCTGGATATTACATCTGATTTTACTAGAACCTCCTTCCTGCTTTTGTTGGATGGCTTCTTTGTTCTTCCTCTTTGTGATATTCCGTGAAGAGAGCTTGCTGTGGTACTGGCAATACTTGCAGTGGGATTGTAATTAGAAGCATAGCAAAATAATTATTAGCAGAGGATTTCCATGGAAACTTTAGTCCAAGGAAGCAAAACTCAAAAACAACAATATGCAGACCCAACAACATAATTTAGATTTGAGGTTTCAAAATACCTAAACGGATTTTCTAAAATAACTGGCATTACGTTTTCTTGTTTCCACCTCTTTTCCTATCCAATTTTCCTGGTTCCCATGCCTTTATTTAAAAAAAATCTCTTTTGAAAAGGCATATAGCAACCTTGATGATTTGCAAGACAGAGCTTGAATCTGATGTGCCACAAAACTGCAGCATCATGAACACAGCACTGTAAAGAAATACACCTGTAAGCTTAGAATAACAGAGGGCTGGGCCCTGTGCTCCTGAGCAGCATGAAAGAAATTATTTGACAAAGTGTGTGTTTAATAGTTCACTTTCAAAGTAAAAAAGTGACTGTTGATCACAGTGACTAGGTCAGTGGTCACCCATCCAGGCACCCAGAAATTAGGAAAGGCTGTCCATTAATTTTGTCAGCATTTTCCTGGTGTCAAGAAGGTCTTTATCACAGGACTTGATAAAATGGGTGTTGGTAAAACAGCAGCATGCTGCTGGTAAAGAGAAAAACAATAAAGAAAACTGACCTCAGAAACAACAGATTTTGACAACACAAGGACCTTTTCTGTAGAAGAGAAGGCTTGGGGGATGGAGAATAGAGAAAATAGCCAAATAGAGAAGACAAGAAAAACTGGCTCTGGATTTCAACTATGTCTTGGATCAGAGGCAGAAATGTATTTAGTGGAAAGCAAGTACTAGCTGTGCATGGTATAAAAATATGAGAAGTTTAGATATAAGTGAAAGGAACTTTGAACTGTATTGCCTCTCTTCTCAGTAGAAACCTGGGCCTGTCAATAAAATAGCCTTCTCAGACAAACACTGACATCTAGCAGAACACCTTTGGGAAGAAGAAGAAACAAGGCTAGATATAAATGCCACTAGTAGGGCACAGCAGTAAGAAAAAAATAATGGAGAAATTTGTATTTTATACTGTGTTGCAGTATTGGTATTGTCAGTTGTTGGTATTGTCAGTATCCTGCTGCTGTGGACGGCATTGCCATACTCCAACTTCCTTGCAGCTAATAAAAACCATCAGTTTTGGTTCACATTGCACATTAACTAGAACACCAAATATCAAATAGTAAGGAAGATCTTAGTTGAAATAAGATCAATCAAATTCTTTCACACCTTGTTTTTCCTTGTCACCTTTCAGGAAAGCATTGGAAAACATTGTGGGTTTTGTTTGCTCCTCCACAGAGCTGTGTCATGTCTCCATCATTCTGAATGCAATCAATCACTGCATATCTTCCAGCTCCTTTCCTCTCATCTCACAGGGCTGCCTTTCTGTCCCCCTTTTGCTAGTGTAAATGTCAGCATCTGTTTTGCTTATTGAGACTGACTGGCTCTTATCCAGTATGTATGTGGTTGATGGCAGCAGTGGAAAAATATTCTTAGCTTGCAGCTTGGCAGAAAGTTTTGCCATTGCCTGTTTAAGATCTGGCCTTTGGGAATTTTTCTGCTGCCCAAACTCACTGCAGTTCATCTTAAAATATTACTAAGTTCAGAACTGCATTGGAAATGTACAAGCAATTGGTACAGGCAGCAGAGGCTGATGAAATGTGCCAGCATGGCAGGAATTTGTTGCTGATGTGAAGTGCCCTTTCCACATTTCTTTGGAAGGGTCTTAGAATAGAGAATCTGTTAGTATGAATTATTTGATGAGTGCTTTTGGGAGCTATTAACTCAGCATTGAAAGTGCTTCAACATGCCATCTGGCCTTGCACCATCCTGGTGCTTTGAAATATTGCCATCTTGAGGACATTTGGAGTGTATGTGGTGAATGAATAAAAAGAACATTTTGGGCCATTTTCTGTAAATCATAGAGACAGCTTATGCTACTAAATTGCTACTAAATCCAACAATCCCAGGCTAACTGATAATCTGTTAGTAGTAACACAAGAGGGGTAATAAATCTATGTTATTTATACTAAATCATTCACAAAACTTTTACTGCTATAAAATAGTAGAATTATGTTTTGAGATAACATAATCTTTTCGAAAAAAAGAGTGGAAGGGTTCAACAAGTGGGGACTATTTCTGCTCTCAAATCACAGAATCACAGAACAGTTGTGGTGGGATGGGACCTCTGGAGGTAATTTTGTCCAACTCCTCTGTTCAAGCAGGACCACCCAGAATAAGTTGCCCAGGACCATGACCTGACAACTTTTGAATATCTCCAGGGAGGGAGAGACTCTGGAACTTCTCTGGGCAAGCTGTGCCAGTGCTCAATCATAATCACTGAAAAAAAGGGGTTTCTGGTGTTCAGAGGGAGACTGCTGTGTTTCAGAGCATGCCTGTGACCTCTGGTCTTGTCCCTGGGCACCACTGAATAAATCCTGGCTCCATCCTTTTTTCACCCACCCTGCAGGTACCTGTACCCATTGATAAAACAAAAACTTTAAAACCTCCACCAAAATGCACAAAAACACCATAAGTCACCTGTTATTTAGATTTGAATAATAGTGTTTCTAGAAATTCAGACATCTCATGTCCAATGTTTTACCAAAGAAGAAAAGTTTCTTTTGCCAAGGGCCATCACGGTATACTGAGATTGCCTTGTTCTTGATAATGATTTTTTAGTGACAATATGTGATATCTAAAAGGCAACAGACCTGTTACTGGGCTGCACTGGGGTGTGTCTCCTGACCAGACTCCTGACACTTGGCAAGTTCTTTCCTGTGACCCTGTGAGTTCAAAGCCCTCATTGCAGGTGAAACTGATGGTTGAGCCCAGCAGGTAGTTAGTAGCATTCTTACTTCCATTGGTTGGGTGATCCAGCCAGCCACAAGAAATCACTAATAAAAGAGATATCTGGTTAGAATATTTAGAATTTAGACCAGAAAAATCTCCATTACAATGATTCAAACAGCATTTTAGTGGCAACTCATGGAAAATTAAAGATTTTTAGGCTATCTGAAAGACAGTACTTCCTGCTACATTTAAAATTTTTTTAAAATAGAGGAATAAATTATTTTAAAATTAAGGATGACAGCTTCATGCACATAAAATAAACTTTCTACACTGTGGTGTTATAGTGGAAGAAATGGAAAGAAATTTATTTTAAGTTTGCCTAAGTATTCTATTAGGACAGAGATTTCCTGGTATGAAGATGATTCCCCATAATCAGATTATTTATAAGTGCATGAGCTTACAGTTAAGTAAAGCCTCCTCAAACAGTGTTAACCCTTTAGATGCCCTATAGAAATAAATGTAATGATGTTCCCTATGAGCCATTCACTTATGATTTGGACTTGATGATCCCAATGGGTCCCTTCCAACTCAGAATATCCTGTTATTCTGTAATGATGTTTAATGGAATGTTGTATCACCTGGCTCTAGATGTTCTACCAGCAGCTTGTGATTCTGATGGGAAAGTCTTGTGGAACTTCCCACTTGGAGGCTTCTTGTTGTCAGGACGTCGAATCTGCAGAATGGGTCAGAGCCACAGCGTGAGACCATCTCTTCTAGCAGGGGATCAGCAGGGTCTTCATGAGGGGAGAACACGGGCAGAAAAGAAGCATTGTGCTTATCCCCATAAAAGAAACTGTCCAGTAAGAACTCCGTGTCATAAGTAAAGAGAGAGGTTCCATTTTTAATAGCCCCTTGGGAGACAGAGACAGAAAGAGAGATTCACATGTAACATTGCCAACAAAGACCACCTTCTGCTACTAATCTGTGTTTATCTACAGAAATGTAGCTAGAGCTGGAAGAGATATAGGAAGCCCTATAGCATCCTTCTAGCTTGAGATTATTTTCCTTTTCATATGCAACATCTTAACTTAGCACCAGGGTTGGTGTTCATTTAACTTGCTGTTTGACCCTTTTCTTAAAATTATATTCAAATACTTGTTTAGCTATGATTTTACATAAAGATGGTTTTATGTGCCTCCTAGCAAATGGTGACAACAGACAGAGCTACCTAAAACAACCATTACAAGCAGCACAGATCCTGAGACTGTGCCTCTAAATCCATCATGGTCCTGCCCTTTTTTCGTTCTGCTATATCAGAAACTTCCTGAGGCTGAAGCAGTGAGACTTTTCGGTATGATCTGAACCCTGGAGTATGGTTACACTGTGCTCACTACAGAGATCAACTGGTAGCCAGAGGGAATTTTACATTATGTTTCTAGCCCATCTTCTAACCTGATGTCAGAAGGAATGCTGACCAATCTAATGCTGCAGGTTAGATAGAACATCTTAATCACTCATTAAATGATAAAATCCATTCTTTTACACACATCCCCCCACACCCTCTTCTTTAAAGAGACAATTACTAAATTGTGAGTTAATAAATGATTTCTTAAATTGTCAGCATGGCCCATGATGAAAACATTGCCAAAATTCTGGGAAAAGATAGCTGGCCCTGGCTTTTGCTGTACCTCTGTAACACTGCAGTCTGCTGAAGCTGTGTTCAGCTGACCATAGTAGATGGTATTCTGAAAGTGTAAGCTGTGAAATACGAGGTCTGACTCCTGATGGAACAAAGTGCTGAACACTCCATCATGGTTCTGTTTTCACTCCCCAAGTGGATAGAGGAGGACATATTTCTCTTACTCCCTTCTCTTCCCCCAGTACTGGTTGCTTGGCACAGATTTCATTCCCGAGTCCTTAAATCATGAGTTGTGTTGAATTTGTAAAGAAAATGTAATAATAGACCAGAGAAATTACTTACAGCTAGCTCCAAACTCAAACACCTGCTGGGGACTTGCATGAACTGACATGGTGGTTTTATTCTTGAAGGTGTAGTCATCCTCTGGATTGCCATTCATTACCCCAAAGAGACCCCATGTGTGATTCATAAACTTCTCTGGGAGCAGAATTGTCAGGGTCAGAAATCCTCCACTTCCCCTTATTTCCACTCCAGACCCAGAAGAGAACATCACTGTGATGTTCTGATCAGGTGTAGAATAGAGAAAGAGACCTGCAATAATGAGAGGAAGAGGACAAAATAGCTAATTATCCATAGTGAAAAAAATTGTTGTGTTTTAGCATCAGTCAAAATCATCAGTTTTAACCATTTTTCATACAGCTTTTCCTCCTTTCCACTCTGAGCTGGACTCTGAGAATCATTTAAAGAGAAGCCACACCTTCACACTACAATTTGATTAGATGGCTACTAGGGAGTGGAAGCAAAGAAAGGTCCACTGTTGATATAAGATGCCTCCTGCCAATGTCCCAGCCCAGAAGCTTAAATATATGAGATGTTCACATCAGAGAGTGGCTGTGAGCTGGAAGCACCACTCCAGGAGTCACAGTTTTTCCCTCCTCCTCCCTTGTCTTGTAAACCCCTCCCTAATACATCTTCTTCTCCAGGCCCCCTCAATGTCCCTTCCATTTTTTTTCCTCCCTGCATCTCTTCTTCTGCAGCTCCTTGTCAGTGTAGCCCTCCATCTGCTCTTCAGCCATGTGAGGAGTAATAATTGCTAGCCACAGAAATTTTCCTCTGCTGAATAGGGGGATTACTGTTAAAACTGAAGTGATGTATGATAAGTATTAGTCAAATTATCATTACGACTAATTAAACTATCACAGCCCTGTTGGGCAAAAAGTCAACTTTTGATAGTCTTTTTGGCAGAAGAATAGAGGAACAATATCTGACCTATTGAGAGAGCTCTCAATAGGTAAATGTAAAATTCAGTTGTAGTTTTGTATATATTTTAGTTATATTTCACTATATTTCATTTTATTTGGTAGGCTTCATTGCATTAGATGCAGTAAGCTCAAAGCAGAATGTAGAGGACAGAGTTTTTAATTCCATTCACTGTCCACTTCATGAGGAGGAAACCCATTGTTCTATAAACAAGTGAAAAAGAACATAAATACCATAGACGTTGAAGCCACCTGTTAAAACACTTCACCAAAGGATGCTGAAAAGAGTTGAAATGCATGCACCTAGAGACACTTTTAACTGTCCATGGGCTCCATCAGAATGGAATTGCTTACAAGGGCTGATATGTGTAACTAACCTTTCAAGTCCATCCAAGTTTGTTCAGAGAAGCTGAGAACCCTCTGGTTCAAGAGGACCTCCAGATGCAAATCCTCCGAGTAGCGCACTTCAATCACATCAGAGCTGTTCTCCTGCATGGCCACTGCAGACAAGCCTGTCCCCTGAGCCCCAGTTCCTTCCAAAGAAGAAAAAACCAACAATGCTATCAAAATGCATCAGCTGGCAGCTCTGCCTATTTACTGATTTCTAGAACTGGCCTTATGGTTCCTTATTGATGAGAATGGGCATGGAGAGAAATAAGATTTTTTTTTTTTGAGCTCTTAAAACACAATAGAAAATCTTACACTTCCATTATCACACCCAATAAAACTAGCAATTTAAAAAAAGAAGACTAGAGACAACAGGAGGATTGTTGCAAAGTGCAAATCAAGCAAATATCAAATCTCAATTCTGCAAATCTCAGAAGTTCAGAAGCTCTGCTTCCTCCCTTACTGACTTACCATTGGAAAAGTGTGCCTGCTGTGTCCTCCCTTGCACTCTCAGGGATGTGAGATCAGACTCCACCAATGTGTATTCTCCTAGGCCATTGAAGGTGAAGTTCAGACCATCAAATGTAAGGAAATGGGGATCCCCAAAAGCAGATGCTATTTTTAAAAGCAAAAAGAGAATTAGAACAAGCAAAAATCACAACCTGTTACTCCTCAAGTTCATGAGAAAGAAAAGAGGCTAGAAGTCTGTGTCACATGCTATAGATGGGGAGATTTGGACATGAATACAGGGTGATTGCCTCATCTTTGCATCCATATCCTTTATCCCCTTTTGCATTTCCCACTTCCATGTAAATTGCTCCAAGTTGCTTCTAATTTATCTTCTTTTGTATGCTTTAATCTGTGTAGCAACTAATTCAATGCACTTTGCCATCAAGTTGTAAAGTTGTATTTTCACAAATTCAAACTCTGCTTCTGCCAATACTTTTGATGGGGTTTCTTTAAGCAGCCAGACCACTCATTCATGACCCCTAACTACTTAATGCAATGCCCTCTACAGTTTTCTCTTTTTTTTCTGATGCAAACTGCTGCCTCTTTGCACTTCTTTATGGGAGGCCAAATCCTACTGGACGCCTCATCATCTCAGCAGCATAGAAGGCAAAATGTGGTAACAACAGAGGTTTGGCAAGGCTTGAAGACTGAGTTAAAAGCAAGTGGGAGGAAACCAGACACATTCTAAGTTGTAAAACTTTCTTATTTGATGTGCATATTTCTCATCATGACAGCTTTTCTAGTGACTTCCTACCAGTCATTAACCATCTCTAACCACCTTTTTTTCTGAAGAAGTCCACACTGATCATATAAAGTCGTGGACATTGACTACTGTGCTTTGGCTATTTAGGTTCCAGGGGTGAGTGAGATGCTCAACAGCAGAAAATCTTGCAGCACAATTAAAAAACAACAGACAGATTTTCGAAGTGGTGGTGCAATAGAAACCTTCCATAGAGTTTTTCCACAGGACATCGTACCCTCACCATTGTCAACTCATGTATGCACTTATACAAATATTCTAAAAGCCAACACTGTATCAAAAATCTACACTCCATAAAGGAAATTTGGAAGCCCTTACCAGCTCGGGGCGGGCGGTACGTCCTGCAGTCACTAGAGGGCCGCCTTTTCATATAGACGTCGCAATTATCAGCCCACAGGCAGCAGTAATAGAAGCTGATAACATCATAAAGCCAATGGGAAAAGCCAGGTATCCGGGGAGGCTTCAAGAAAGGTGGTGAACCCCAGTCGTGTCCTCGATCAGGTGTGCTGCCTCCGGTGGAGTCGTGCGTGAGGATTTGGGTTCCCGTGGAGCCATAGCAGCACTGCTGTCCAGCCCCATACTTGGGACTGATTGAGAAAAGCAGCAAGAAAATCATCATTTAGCTCTGTGGGGTCCGTTTCTATTTAGGGGTTGCTTACTGATTTTTATGGATACAGATAAATATTTAGTTTGCCAAGCTTTATCTGATGTCCAGTTAGACTTCACCCCTGACTTCTTGATGCTGCCGTCTCTGAGGTGAAAGAATTAATCAAAAATTGCAGCTTAAAAAATGTTCTTTACCTGGCTTGAATGGCTCTTACACAATGCACAGCACCAGGATGATAAGTACACACGCTCCCCTTTTCAATGTCACAGCCATAATCTGTCTGAAAAAGATCAATGTTCACACTTAATGGGTTCTTTCCTCGTTGTCCTTTCTGTTTTTACATTCTGTTCCCACCCTTTGTATCTGACATGTGTGTAAAGTTGACATGAACTGGTTAAGGTTGTGTTGAACAGTGTGGAATGATAGGAAAAATGTTGAATTTAATACTGAAGAGTCTGGAGTAACAAATCTGACCTGAACATTTTGCAGTCTGTTACAACAGACCTTGAAGAACAAATGCAGCCAGATAGGGATTCAAATGTAAGTGTACAACAAACACAGGCACAACAGAGTAAGTGTTTATCTTATGTTCCTAGACAGAAGCAGTAGATCTATTATTTATCTTCTTTTACACATCATGTTTGCAGCTTCATAACCAGAATAGTAACAATGTTTGCCTAACTTTTTTTTTTTTTT